AATGCTTTAGTGCATTACAATGTCGACACTCGAGTACTCTGGGACTTGATACCTTCGAATAATCCTGGACATCTTATTTTTAGGCGAGTGTTTTGGTCATTTGGTCCTGCAATTGAAGAATTTAAACATTGTAGACCATTAATTCAGATTGATGGTACACATCTGTATGACAAGTATAAGGGAAAATTACTTATTGCCACCACAATTGATGCAAATGGACATATATTCCTTATTGCTTTTGCTATTGTGGAAGAGGAAAATACTTCTAGTTGGTCGTGGTTTTTGTGTGCCTTGCGAAATTTGGTTACCGACCAAGATGAAATTTGTCTAATTTCTGATCGTCATGGAGTTATTTTGGCGGCTATGAAAAATAAGGAAAATGGCTGGAGTGAACCAAGAGCACATCATCGATTTTGTCTCCGTCATGTGGCTAGCAATTTCAACAAAAAATATAATTTGAAGCCCTTAAAAGAGTTCGTGTATCGTGCTGGGTGTCAACACCAAAAGCGTAAATTTGAAAGATATATGAGGGAGTTACAACAATTGAATCCAGATTGTATTGATTTTTTTACTCGTATAAACATTAAAAAATGGACACAAGCACATGATCAAGGGTTTCGATATGGATGGATGACAACAAATCTAGCAGAGTGTATTAATGGTGTTTTCAAGGGAGCTAGAATTTTGCCAATTACTGCATTAGTGAAGTTTACGTTTTTTAAGACTATTACTTATTTCCAGAAACGTAGAGATGATATCAGTGAAGCAGTGGATTGGGGTGAAAAGTATACAAAATATGCTTTAAATAAATTGAGGAGGTGGGAGAAAAGAGCGACAGCACATTCAGCGACTTCAATTGATCGAGAGACACAAACTTTTCAAATCGAAACAGGAATAGATATGTTCTCTCCTTACAAAGGCCAACATACTCAAGTAGTTTACTTGAAGGACAATACATGTACTTGTAACAAGTGGCAATCTTTCAAGATACCGTGTTCTCATGTAATTGCAGTCTGCAATCATGTTCACTTGCCATATTTGCCTTATGTCGAGAAGTATTACGAATTGTCACGGTACCAACTTTGTTATGCATCTCGATTCTACCCTATACAACATAAGGACTATTGGCCGGAAGTGAAGTTTGATGTTATTCATCCGAACTCAAATTTGTTGAGGGAACATGGACGCCCAAAAACTTCTCGCATTCACAATGAGATGGATTGGCGGGAGACGGGTACGACAGTTCATTGTGGAATATGCAAAAAAGGACATAACAAACGTACATGTCCAACTCACAACTCTGGCGCTTCATCTTCGAGACAAATGGGTGATTAAGGTGGATTTCTTTAATTATTTTTTTAACACACTGTTACAAATCTATTAATATTGAAATCAATTCTATATTTTCTATATACAGGTTGAAGCATATGCGGTGATATCGTTCTCAATTAGTGTGGGATTGTTGCTTTGTAATACCTTATATTTTATCACTTACCTGGATTCGTGCTTTGTAATACACTATGCTTTATTGAATCATTTTTTGCTTTGTAATAGTTAGATATTTGGAATTGTAATGTACTATACTTTATGTCATGTTATTTGAAATGAACTTTGATTATAATTGTGTTATTTGTCTTATTATATTTCAGCATTAATTATGGATCCAGGACCTTTGGATTCGCATCAACTATACTTACAACGATCACATCGTTCACAATTAGTGTGGGATGATGGATCTACCATAGTCTTGCAATGTTGAAGAAGAGAGGTCGTAGTATCTCATAACATTTGGCTAGATAATCGTATAGTGTCATATCTACAACAGTCTGGATTTTGGGAGGTTTCACAGATAGGCTTTACTCAGTTAGATTGACATCTTATTACTGCACTGGTGGAGCGATGGAGGCAGGAAACTCACTCGTTTCACATGCCTGGTGGAGAGTGTACTATTACACTACAAGATGTTGC